TTTTCACGAATACTTGTTAACTAAACTTATAATTACTTGAAATTTCTAGAGACTTTACTACATCACTTTTAATCGTCGTAAAAATGCTTACCTTCATAGTTTACTGCGACCTTCTAATTTCGGACAACAGATATGATTTCAGATTTCTAAATAGTGTAAAATTTCTTTACAAAACTAAAATATATTACTTTACTATGTTTTATCATTCATTTTCAAGAAAATCAACTTCGAGGAAATTATGCTTTGCTACCAAGGTCGAAGAAATTGTTTAACATCATTATCCTAATATACCTATTTCGATTCCTTTATCTTTAACTCAAGATAATTCTGAGATATTTATCGAATTTTTGGATAATAGCAGTTAATCCACTTGGCAGAATTATTTGTTATCTAAATTCTTCTTATCCTTTCATGCTAGTGTATTATTCAACTATACTGTACTTTAGATGATGTATTAGGAAATTATACTTAATATCAATTTAGTAAGAAAAAAAATATTGCAAAAAGGATCACTTGTAAAAATATTTATATAATAAAAACTAATATGTTCTAAACATATCATATAATTATAGATATATTGCAAGTATTTATTTTCTTGCTTGAGCTTAAACAGATACAAGAGATACTTTAACATTTAATGACAGCTTTTTATTAAGCAACAAGTTGTTTAAACACAGATATTTCATGATCGCAAGTTACTGTAGAGGCCTATAGATTGCCGTACGTGCATATAATTTTTATGTGACGAACTTTTTAATAATACGGTGTATCAAACAATGAACAAATTCCTATTTTGTCTGAAAGAAGTTCAGTGGTAATAATAACAGCCGTTAATCGAAGGTATTTTGAATAATTCTAAGACAAAAGACAATATTCGGTTGTCTTGCATATATATATATATATATATATATATATATATATATCTGGCTGAAGCTTGTCCACAGCCAAGCTGCTATTTTAATTGTTGAAAACTACATTTACTTGGATTGCCTATTTCATTATTTTTAATAACAACAGTGTTCTTTCATTTGTTGAAATATAATGTTTAAACTTGATTTTTGTTTATGGTATCTTTAGTAATTTCAATTTATTAGATTTTATTTAAACTTGTTGTATTGTTCAAATAATGACTTTTTGATATAAGATTTAATTCTTGTTTACTTTATTTCTGTATGATTATATACTAGTTATATTTGGATTTATATTATATATATATTTCAAATTCTAATATTATATATTTTAAAATCTTAATGTATTTCAAAATCACTTTTCTAAAACTCCAGTTTCGTTCTTTTCCCGCGCTGGAGGTATATTAAATCTCTCATTTTGGCATATTTATTACTAAAAGAATATTTAATCGCTTTCACGTGCCCACAGAAAATCATGACGGCGTCTCCTTGGCACCAGACTTTTTCCCTGAGACGCTTACGTAATTTATTAAAAACACCCAATATTCCCTTCTCTTTGATCACGTGTCAATATGTTATTCCCTTATCTGAGAGAATACAGGGATTTTGCTGTGCACTTTTACTTGTAACCTAAATGGAGATGCATGTATACCCACACCCACCACTCTCCTATATTGTACTTAAATAGTTTGATAATAAAATAAGAAGTATTTATTTTCTCGGCCTGTTTATTTATTAATATATATATATATATATATATTAATTATGATTTATAGAGAGGTGCCAATGTGTAGTCGCATGTTTCAATAATATATGTGCTGGCTTATATTAAAAAAATATCAGTTGAAAAACTTAAAAGAAAATTTAATACCCAATTTAATTATAAAGATTCGTCTGTAACTTCAGTCATTAGATCTGAGAAATACCGTTAAAAATATAAATTGTTAAAAAAATCCACCATTTTTTCCATGTTACGTGCATTCAAATATTTATATATGTAATGCTGAGTGGTTTTTAGAAGTACTACTGCTTTGGAATTTTATAGTGCGCCTTTGAGACCTCTAAACTGCATTTGTGCCCTTTTTTCGACAGTGTTTAACGTTCACAGGTCATCAGATTCGAATAAAACCGCACAATATGAGATCCAGATTGGTAGAATAATGCTATGCGAGTTCGAAATTAACAGGAATAATCATTGGGAATGTTTTAAAGTAAAATATTACAGACAGTGTTTTGATAATAAGATGTAATGTCTATTGTCACTAAAAATATTCAAACTCGAGGAGAATTCGTTAAATTTTTCCAAGAGGATCCAATTTATTTTTGCAAAGAATTGAGGGAAAAATTATATTTGAAGACTAAAATTTACTGCTAGATTTCGGTTAATCATGGGAAACGTTAGTCTTAAAACATATTCGATTATATAACCTTCTCTTATGAAGCATCTTTACCTTTAAAACACAAGTAATATTTTGTGATAATTCATTAAATAGCAAAAAAGAGCAATTTGTGTGAGCCTTTCTTTGCATATAAGAAAAAAGTTCCCCTAAAAGGAACTTTTCCTCTTATTTAATAACCACAGTTCACATTTCTGATCCAACAGATTTCCCAAAATTTTATGTAAAAATTATTATTAATTTTTAATAGACTTGTATTGATTCGATCAAACATCTGAACTCTAGAAATGTACTGAAAATCCACTAATTTTACTGAAAGGTTAATACAAAAATTAAGATGATTGCATTTTTACAATTACTTGAATGCAATTGCATTCCAAAGAATAATATTAGAAACACAAACAAGTTTTACTTATTGTAGATTTGCTAAGTGATCTAAGTAACTCAAGCTTCCTAGAATGCGCATAAACTCGAGAATTTCTGAAGTCCGTTGTTAACAGGGTCAACTGCTAATTTGCAGCACGATATCTATGCTCAGGATGCAGATGTATACAATTCTGAAATGTGTTGATCAACTGAATGCATCGAATATATGTTACCACAAACATTACATTGGATATATTAACTGCGCATATATGATTTCGGCGCTTTGTGCATATGGAATAGGGATGAATATTACATTCTCCTATATAATCTTCATCAAATGGTGTACATTATTCAGTTATCTTGTCGGAACACTTGCATAGCTTCTATTATTGTCTCCGTTGCACAGGGGCACAAAAGTAGGAAACAGAATGTGATTTTATATAATATTCTTTTACCTAATAATTATATTTCAAAAATAAATGATGGGTGAGAGAACTGATATCTGTTATTTATAATTTTTAAAAAAATTATTTTGTCAGTCAGATTAGATTAATTTTTATCTTAATATTTAAGGGGACACATTTCCTTCTCAACATTTTTTTTATATGAAATATTATTGAAAAAGTTTTAATATTATTGAGACTTAACAATCATATATAGGAGATCAAAATCCATTTTGACCTGCTTTCTTAGTTGAAATTTAAAATTTTTTAAAAAATTAAAAATTCCTACTACTTTTTCAAATATGAATATTTTTGCTTCAAACTTCATTTGTAGATTCACTGAAATATATTACATAAAACTGTACATGGATTTTAAGGTGTATCTAATAGCCGCTTAAATATAGATATTTTACTGAATAATATGGTGAAAAATGAGGAAAGTTAGCTGTACCTCATTTTATATCTTGCAAATAAAAAAAAAGTGAATAACTGAATTCTTATTGCATGCACAGTTTTATCATATACATAATGAAAAACGTGTACAAAAAATTTGAAAGCTCTATCTTAAAAAGGAAAAAAGCCTTAGCATTTTGAAAACATGAAAGTGCAGAAAAGTTCACATGGAGAAAAAGCCATTTAAATTGTCATTTGCGCATGTTTTTCAATAGCCATCGTAAATAAAAATTTGAATAACTTCTGAAATATTAAAGGCATAAATTTGAAATTTGGATACAATAAGTTAAACGATAAGAGGAACAAAATAAGCCAATAAAATGAAAATGGTCGTTTTAGTCATTTTTTTGGGTAAAGTGTCCCCTTAACCCTCTGACTGTGTAATTTTTTAAAATCACTATTTAGACGCAACGTTTGCAAACGTGTTCAAATACCGTTGAGCCAAGCAAGCTGTTATTTATATGCAAAGCTTTATTAGTATAATATGATCCAACGCTATAAGTGAACACATTAGCCTGCGAAAATCGCAGACTGCAGCAGAAAATAGACTTGATTCCAACCCGCGGAAATCGCGGGATACGCAGTCTGAGGGTTAATGTCTCAGTAATATAAAGATGTATCTGCTATTCCACTGCTCGAATAACTACAGAGACTCTTGTTGCGATTTTGATTTAATACAAATTTGGCTTACAATCCTTGCGATTTAAGTTTACAATTTGATTATTATTGTTGTTAGCTGTCATTACATAACTTAATTTCAATGAAAATAATGCTAATTAAGAATAAATTAATATAGGCAACTTTTCCCACCTCTCTTTCACAACTTTCCATACTCCATTAATAGTTTAAGGCTTAATTAATAATTTAGGATTGTTGGTTCATTTCTCTTTTCAAGAGTCTAAACGTACAAAAGTCCATGCGTGATACACCTTGTGATTTAGTAGGAATGTGAGAGTTAAAGGTATTGGAGTGATACTGGCTTATTTTTTTATCTACGATTAAATTAAGGATTTAGATGTATGGTTGTTTTTTGTATGGAAAGCGTTTTAATTGAGGGATGTCTCTGTCTATATAAAGAGATTGTATTTCTTCTATAATATTGACAATGAAATATTATTTTAATAATGCGAGGAATTTATTTATATATTTTCTCATCTATCTTTATGTTTAATTTTCCATTGTATGCAAAACCGACAACGCAATCATAAGTTCTAAATAGAAGTGTATTCAGGTATTTTTCCATTTCTCATCAGTTTAATTTAATTATATTAACGTCCCGTTTCGAAGCAAGATGAGGGCTATTTTATGACGGACCTCGTAATTTTGAACCGCGGTCCGATGACGCATCCTCCTCGTCAAAATTCCACACCACACCAATGGGAGGATGGTTGACCCCCTACGTATGATTTAACGTGCAACGGGCCCAATGGACGTGGAATCAGGTTTCGAACCTGCAACTCTCCGGTCCAAAAGTTGACACCTTACCATTAGGCCATTATTACCATTACCAATTTTCAGCAGATAATTGCTTCGTATACAGAAATCTGCATCTAACTCTACAGTTTATTTTAGTTAGTTTAGTTATATTAACGTCCTGTTTTGAAGCAATACGAGTACTATTTTGCTACAGATCTCGTAATATTTAACCGCGGTGAGATGGCAAGGACGACATCTGAGCTGGAAACCTCTCTCCAAACTTCCGCACCATACCAACGGGAATGACGTCAGGAGCTTCATTAGGGGACACAAGCAAAGCTCATGACGTCATTAGGGGATACACGCAAAGCTCCTGACGTCAGTAGGGGACACACGCAAAGCTCATGACTCATTGACCATTACGTATGATTTAATGTGCAACAGGCCCCATACACGGCGGATCTTCAGTGAAATCGATCTAACCTCACATTCGGCATGTACATTCGGCCTCACATTCGGCACATGTGTAAGAAAAAGACGATGAAAACCAAATGTTTTGATTTGTTTTAAGATTCAAATCATTATTTATTGTTTTACTAACCACCTTTGTCGACCAGCTGGTTCATCTGGTTTATTGTGTACGAAACATTTCAATACATTTTTTTATGCGTAGCTTGGTCTTAACGATCTCCTCAGCAAAGTTTTTTTAAATTTCAAGTTTTGTTAGACATGTAACTTGAAATATTTTAGAAGACTTACATCTGCTCTGTTTCTTGTGATACGCACCTGCCAATTCTCTCTATCTGCCATCTCATCTAAAATTTCAGCTTTAATATGAAACGGTAAATTATTAAACTTCAACCAATCCAATAACTTCCAAAAATATTTGAATTCATTGCAGCAATGAAAGAATTGTTGTAAAATATGTCAAAAGTATTTTTTATAAAAATTATTGAAATTAAAAAAAATTGGTTTCATTGGAAAGATAATTTTTGAAATTTTCAGATGGGGTAAAAATAATTTTTCTTGCATAATATTTTCCGAAGCTATCAAGGAAAAACTCCAAAATTTTGCTTAGATTTTAATTAATTAGAATTCTAATTAAAATAAAAAATAGTCTGGAAGTGCACATTTCCACCCTCCAAAGTGTGTTTGTGCCAAATTTCGTACCCAAGGTTCAGCAGTCTGCCCTGTTGAGTTTCAATGCTCAGATAGATACACGCACATTCTTCTTTATTATTTGTAGACATTTACAATTAAAAACGGAGCAATTTAATAACTTTACAAAAGTTCTTTGAGTTGGGAGATTTTATTGGAAAATTAATATTCTCACCTTAGAAATATCTGCAGAAGTTTGCTTCTTTTTTGGAAATACTTTTGAATTTTTTTTAGCAGAATGCAATTTTTTTGTGTTTCTCCTTTGTTATTAACAATCCTATTTATTCTAAATATAGAAGCACCGATTCCATGGCATTTTACAACGTTTTTGAATAACAGAAGATAAATATTTCAATTCGAAAAAAAAAACATAACCTTCTATTCATTGTAAATTTACAAAAACCGTCTTGCAATTAAATAAACTTTGTAACATCAGACGATAATTTACAGTCTGAGCAAATAAGTAATAAAAAAATAAAACTGTTTTAAATCGAACAAATCAAACGATTGCTAACATATTCCATGCAGAATGTCCAAAAAGTGCGCGCATCTGTATAATGGCGAAATCAATTTTTAAAAATTTATTACTATAATTTTCACAAGATTATTACAACGGATTAATTAAAGACTATTTGATAAAATATACCTTCTATTTTACAGCACAAAACTGTTTTGGTGGCATAGAATCATTTGAGAAAACTACGGGCACTGCTTTTGGGCCATCCGTGGGCACATCTGTCTTATTGCAGCAGCAGGACCAGGCTCTGACGAGGGACTGCATTAACCTGTGCAAACAACAATCTCAGTGTCTTGCCTTTTCCTTGGACTATGCAGGATTTCGATGTGCGTCCTACAATGTCAACTCTGTCGGAAGAAGAGATGCTCTGGATGTCAGACTGAACAACAACTACTTTGAGAAGTCATGCTTTCATGGAGGTTGGTGAATAACTTAATTAGGAATTTTGAATTCCAAGTTTGTTATGATAACAAAAGTTGTTAATTCATGATATTTACGAGCGAAGAATGTTAAATATATCCTCTGCATACAGCTAAAAGTGAATAAATGAAAAGAAAAAGAAAATTGAGTTAATATTTTCTTGTTTAAAAATGTCATATCTTGTCGCTTAACAAGCAACACCACCTATCTCAATTTTTTGAAATTTCAAAGAGGAAGAAAATTCTAAATTTTTTGCAACCAATAACGAATATTTCTGAATTTTTTTCACAACTTGCTGTAGCATGCGGTCTTATGTTTATATCAGATGCTAAAAGAATTCAGAAATATTCGTTATTGGTTGCAAAAAATTGAGAATTTTCTTCCTCTTTGAAATTGAGGTGGAATTGATACGTGGTGTTGCTTGTTCAGCGACGATTTGTAACAGAACAAATTGTATATATAGATTTATTTGCAGTATATATTGTATACTGACGATATATTGATATATGTGCAGTATATATTGTATACTGATGATGTATTTATATACATGATTTTTCTTGTTACATTGATACCATTTTAAAACAATAAGAACGCATTAATTCATTTTTATTTCTCTTTCTTTCAATTTTGTTTCCTCTAAATCGCTGGCATGATTCAAGTTATTCTTGAAGGGCAAAATTTCATTTCTACTTAACCGCTCTCATGATTGAAATTGTTCTGAGGAATAAGATTTCATTTCTATTAATAATCAATTGCAGTACAGGTACAAATAAACGGAGAATTGAAACAATTGAGTAATTTGAGGAAAATGTGTTGCATTTTGCTTTGTTATCTGAGAATGTTTCTTATAAGAAATAGGAAAAATTGAATCTTTATACTACCTTGATGATAATCGACAAATTGAAGGTTATCATTAAACGCAATATTAGTCTAGTCCTTATCAATCAGACTAATCCTTATCAATCAGATCTCCTTACAATGCAACATTATGAAATTTGTATGATAGAAAAAGATTATTATATTTTGATTTTAGAATACTGATATCAAATATACCTGTATTTTTTATGAATAACGAACAACATAGTTGAGTATTCACTCTTTGAAATTAACTATATACAGTTTAGAAATGCTTCATATTCTTATGGGTTGTGGATTAAAGGGGAAATGTTAAATAAGAAAGCAAAAGTTTTATTAATTTAACTTTAATACGCTGGCGATAATGAATGGAACAACATAATCAGCTGAACAGCAGATAATTAGATATAAATCATTAATTAATATTTCCTCAAATTATTTTACATAATATAAAAGTTAATTTACGCTAGAAATTGCCTTAACTACTAAATATAAAACTACTTTTCTAACGAAATTCAGCAATGAAGAATGTAAAACAAAAATATTTTAGTGCTTGTACATTTTGTTAAATAACTTTTATAAAAGTTGTTTTCAATTAAAATTTTGAAATTCTTTTCATTTAAATGTAAAATCGTTATGCAGAATAAGAGCTAGAAAATTTTGAATCCAAAATTCTTCTAATCTACATCTGAAAAACGCTAAGATACACGGCGACAAAAGAAATGTTAATTTCTCTTTTGTCGATGGCAACGATCGGTTTGAAACTCCTCCAACAATCGGTAACCTGTTTTTATGCATAATTTCATACATATTGCTTGCTTCTATATTCTTTCAGGTGTAAAACACTTTTTTTCGCAAAAACTGAGCTTGCGAAGTAGAATTCACATATTTCTTATAATAAACTGAGGACAGAACTACTAACTATATTTTTATCGTTAATAATTGTGTATATTTTTTAAATTTCAAAGAGTTTCCAATAACCTTTGTGTATACGGAGAAGTTTTAAATATGCTCAATTCTGAAATTCCATACCTGCATTTTTACTATTGTGGACAAAATACGTTGTCCTATAACATATGTATTTTGGTAATGCCAAAGAGTAGACACAAGAGAGCAGATGCTCTGCCCAGTATCAACTAATTTTTTTAAATTTTACGAATTTACATCTCGTTATTAAATCCTTCTCTTACTTTCCTTCCCACAGTTCAAAGATCTCTATTCGAGAATCTATGCGGGGATCGACTGTGGGCCTTCGAGCGAGTCCGTGATGCCTTCCTCAATGGTTACGTCGAGAGAGAGGTGCAGAACGTGCAGACCAAAGAGGAGTGCGAGAGACTGTGCTTGACGGAGGTGAACTTCATCTGCAGGTCTGCCGACTACGATGAAGTGATGAGGGTTTGTCGCATGAGCAAAGAGGACAGGAGGTCCCAGCCACAAGCTTTCAGAGAAGTGGTCGGGAGCAACAGGGATTACCTCGAAAATCAGTGCGCCGCATCGGGTAAGTAATTACCTATTATTGTTTGAACTCGACCGTTCGGCATTTTATCTGTTTGGCTGTAAATTTGCATGTTACGCAGTCACGACCAAACGCGTTGTTCGATTTCTTCGAATTCGATTTAAATTCCTGGCATAAAAAGATACAACCGACTTTGATTGGAGATAGAACCCACGAATTTGGACAGAGGAGGCCCGTATCACAATCATTGAAGAAGCAGAAACTGTGCGTTATTTTACCAAGCGAAGTGAGGTCCTGCTTTAACTCGAAAGTTCGGCATTTCGTCCTGTAAATTCGTTTGTTCCGCCGTTACTGTTAAGCAACGGGTTCCGAGACTACTACTTTTGGATGATTTTACACCGGAGAGGGGTGTCAGGCAATGAGTCATATGAGCGCATTCCCGAAGTTCTTGGTTAGATCACGCTCAGTAAAATGTATACATCACCCTTCCATTCTTCATTTCCCCCCTATTTTGAAGAAAATAACTCCGTTCGGCGCATGCACAAAAGCGCGGAGGGTTTCTGAATCCGTTGCTAAACAATACGTCCAAACGTATTGTTCGGTTTACTTCGATTTGCCATGAATGTTATTTGAAGTCATTAGAAATGACGTATATGTGAAGATTTTAATTTTTTCATTTCG